TGAACATACATGTAAGGCAACGTGTAACATGCACTTCTCTTCATACAACAGGGGGGATAAACAAAAACAACGTCCAGACTGAGACACAGATTCAAAGAAGATGAAAATGAAATAAGTCATTAAATGAGCACATTATTTTACATGAAAACCATCCTACCACCTGTTTGTCTCTCTAACTGACCTACTGCTGTGGACACGTTATAAGACACTGAGCGTCAGGACACAAGAGACACAAAGTATCTGTGTATTCATTTTGTGTTTCTTTGTGCTAATTGTCTGTCTCTTTGTGGTCATTCTTGTCTCTTTGTGGTCATTCTTGTCTCTTTGTGGTCAGTCTTGTCTCTTTGTGGTCAGTCTTGTCTCTTCGTGGTCATTTATGGCCTCAGATTGCATTCTGGACCACTGCCCCCCCCCCTGTGCCGGCCCCTGCCTACCCCCAGGCTCTCGTTGGACTCGAAGCAGTCCATGTACGAGGCTCCTCTGATGCTCCACGCCGACAGGAACTTGAGCAGGTTGATTTTCACCGGCTGCTCCACAAACACTAGGTAGTTGTCCGTCAAACCGAAGCTACAGATGGAAACCACAGAAGAAGAACACGTGTTTAATGAAAGTGTCACAGAGAGAGATGATGACTGACAATGACTGGCGACCCGTACCTGTGAACGTAGGAGGGCTTCAACCTCTCGCTGCTGGGAAGCTGAACCAGCACCTGGGATCTCTCTATGGGATCTGACTTGTCTGGAAACACAGAGTCGGTGAGGAGGAAACAACATTAACACAGAAAACTCAACATTAGTGTCGTCTGGTTCATTCACACGAGGTCCAGTTTGATTCAGGAGCTTCTGGAGGTATCACACAACCGTAATATGGATCTTAAGGTTCTCTCCCTTTTCTTATTTAACTCATATTCTGACTTTCATTCTGTCTTTGTGTCCCAACATGTGTCTCTTTTTACAGTTGATTCACTAAAAAAAAGACAAACGATAAGAGACTCAATGAAGTCTCCTCCTCTGGTCTTCAGTCTCGTTCTCTCACCGCTCTGAGCAGGCGGGATCTTGACGATGTTATAGGCCAGACTCATGTTCTTGCCAAAACAGTTTCCGATGTTGTAGACGGTTCCGTCCGGGTCAGTGTGGGGGTGCGCCGTCAGCCCGTTCACCGACAGGTACTTACAGAGGTCCACCTGATGGAAACACAACACAGGGAATGAAGGAAGTGGGTCCGTGGAATCTGGAGTTGACCAAAAAAACAGTTAAAGTACTTCAATTGTTGTAATTCTGCGCATAATGAAAATGTATTCACTCCGTTCATGACTGAATATAATTAGTGAAAACTAATAAAACCAAGTTTCAAGGTAAAAATCAGAAAAAGGTGTCGAAACAGAAAAAAGTTTACGATATTTGGAGAAATTAAAAAAACTAGCCAGTCCGCTCTCACCTTCTTCAGCGTCTCCAGCGAATCAGGGTCGACCTTGGTGATGTAGTTGGACTCTGTGACGGCGTAGAAGTCTTCGCCGATCGGATAAACGTTCACCATACAGTTATCAGTCACTTCAATGCCTCTGAAGTAAGTAAAGAATCTGAACAGAAGATTTCCTATGAGCAAATCAGTGTCAAAATAATACAGCGAGCAAACTGGATGTTATTCCTCAGTATGTACATTACGACACAGGTAGACTACAAAACTTTGGTTGTGTTACCTGGAGAAGATGTTCTTACAGGGGTCGGGGTAGGCTGCTGTACCGAACTCTGTGATGACCACTCTGTTTTCAGTCATAGCACGAACGTACGCGTCCGTCCTGATGAACCTGAGCACAAACATCCCACACGTCACATCCAGCCTCTCCTCTGTTCAGACATTTTATTTCAGAGGTTGTGAAACTTCTCGGTTCCAAGAGAAGCTGCGTCTGATTAATGTTTTTTGTCTCTTCCAGCAATATTTCCAGTTTTCAGGAATCTAGAGTCAGCGACTCTCCTCGGCTGCACACATCTGCATACCTCTCTGCAACCACAGTAAATCTGATTTCATAAAAAAATCTGCAACTGGGTTTGGATCTGCATGAGGATGATAAAAGTGACAGTGGGACACATGTGGCAGATGTTTTTTATTATAAGTGACAAGAAGAGAAAATGGTGAAAATGTTAATTCATCCCTCATGAGACGTCTATATCCAGCCCCGTACTAGAAAAACCACTTCTCGAGTAATCTTCAAGTAAAAGGAACGATAAAGAGCAACAGCTACCAGAACATCACATCACCTCATGAGAGACTCATGTGTTTTAATGAGCTCTTATTCTGAAAGGTATTCTCACTTCCTGTAGTAGGTCACCTCTCCGTCCTCCAGGTCAAACTTGTGCATCAGAGCCTGTCCATCAAACAGGTGGTTGAGGGGTTCCCCCCCGATCTCGAAAAGACCCGGACCCATCCTGAGGAGACTTCCCCCCAACCATGATGGTATAACACCTGCACACACACACACACACACACACACACACACACA